AAAGGCAGAAGCCCGGCGTGGGAATGGGGGTAGGAAGCGGGTGTGGGGAGCTGGTGGTGGGTGAGGCAGGGGTTGGGCAGGGGTTTGGTGCCCCGAGCCGCCCCGCTGAGGGTTTCAGCCAAGGTCAGCGCAGCCGGGACGTGTGTTTTTAGCACCGTGTCCCTCCTCGGCCTCTGCGAGAGCTGAAGGTCGTGGGAACCTCTTAAGGGTGGTCAAACTGATTTGTTCCTCGAGATCCGTGTGTCAGCCTCACCTCTGGGTGTCTCTGCCTCTTCTTGAGTGACTCTCGTTGTTTCCTTCTCCAAACGAGTCAGGCTAAAATGTAACCTGTATGGAGGAAATACTGGTAGTTGTAGCAGGCGCAGAGAGACCGAATTCTCTGGCCTGCAGGTGAAATAGCTTGCACGTTTAGTTTAAAAAGCAGTCAGCCTGCTGAAGTGGCTGTGTGCAAAATGCTGCTTAACCAGTTGGAAATGTATCTTTTCCGTGTGCTTAGTAACCCCTGCTTAAGTTACAGTCTCGCTACCTTATTTCAACAGTCTGGAGTTCTTCCCCAGGAGGCTGAGCCTGTTGATGGCAAAACTGGCAGGACACTGGTAGAGATTTTCCTGGCAGTGACCTTTGCAGTGTCACTGAGCTCGGGGAAGCAGGCACTGATTGAAGAGAGGTGCTTACACCGAGTGCTTTAGAGGGAAAAGATCTTGGAGTAATCTGTGATAGGGACAAGCTGACAAGGTTTGTTGTGTGGTCTCACCAGTTGGGTGAGGTTGTCTGACTCAGAGAGTAGAGCCCTTCTCAGGGCTGTTTGTTTTTTTTCCTTGGAGGCAGGTGAAAAAATCACCTGTGCTGCAGTCACCTCTGCTTATCTTCTTGATGGGTCCCCACACCAGTCTGATGCCTCTCAGGGGCTCCAGGACTCACTCCTGCGAGTATTTCATGCTCAGTGCTCTCCAGCAGGAGTTGGAAGCTGTTGCAGTGGTGAATGAGGTGGGATAGGCTGTAGTAGTGACTGAGGAGCTGCCAGGTAGGGCTGACCTCCCAAGGCAGCTCACGGTTTCCATCCGGAGCACTTTGGTTGCTGTTCTTGGCAGGCAGTGAAAGGGGAGTCATGAAGTTGCCTGAGGTCAGAGCTCCTGTTAAGGAATGGCCTGTGAAAGCAAAGTTGTGTGCTGGGGGATGGAAGTCCTAAAAGGAAACACAGGCAGTGACCAAAGCTTTCAGTGGCTTCTTGCCTGTGAGTGTGGCAGGGGAGACACTGGGATCTGCAATGGGATGAAAGGGGAATGGTAGAAATTTGTTGCTTTGCTACTATTTTATTATAAACTTTGTCTTGTTCTAGTATGCAGTGACCTTGCTTCCCAAGACTTCACTTGAATTAAATCTTCTGTATGTGGCTCATCAGCTCAAATTTAGCTCTTGTGCTTGAACTTTTCTGTGTGGACATTTGTGACAGGTGGAAGACACAAGGGGTTTTCTTTTTTCCTAAACATTCTCTTAACTGGGTGATTCTAAAACCTGAAGAGAGACTCTTTTTGTCTTCACAGCCATCATGTCACCCGGTCAGGAACCCGTTTACTCAGAGTATGATACTGACACCAGCCAGACATCAAAGTTGATAAGAAAATTTAAAGAGACTCCATTTGTACCCATCGGTGAGTTCAGATATGAAGAAACCTGGTTACAGAGTTCTTCCTCTTTGTTGGCAGTCCCCAGGGTAAACACAGTCAGGGAAAAGGAAATTACTTGGAAATTACTTCCTAGTGTAGCCTCTTCCTATGGTAACAGTAGCATTCCTGCCTGTTAATGGCATCAATCCTGCAAGAAACAGGGAAGTTAATGAGGCCTGTTATCTTATTACAAGAAAAACAAACAATAAAACCAACAAACCCCGAAGGGCTGTTTAGGTGAGTCTAAAAACCATGGTCAAGTGATGCTGTTGGGTGTCAAGGAGGGAGTTTTGCAGCCACCCTGGAGTGAACTTACTGGGTGCTGTGTGGTCACTAGGGAGTGACTTTAAAGCTGACAAAATACAAACCAGAAGTATGTAAAATGCAGCCCACCTGCTAAACGTGGCACCCTTCTCCGCTGCTGTCCCTTAGTTTAAAATGCATTCTTAGAAGATTTTGTGGTGCCCCAGCTTGAGGGGGTTGTTAAAGCTCTTAACCTCTCTGCTGAGACCCTGAAAAAGCCTCTGAGAGAGGAGCAGTCGTGCTCATCCTGAGAACTTTCCTCCCATCAGGAACTGCCTTTGGCACAAGACACATTTTGATTTCCAGCCACCTTAAATGGAGAGCAGTCAGGTCACTTGGGGTGAACTGTTGCAAGAGTTTGCCAACAGATATCCATCACTGGCTGCTCGGGTCACAGGACTTTGCTCTTCAGCTTGCTGGGAGTGTACTGTGAACTCTGTGAGTCTGGGTTCTTCCTAGCAGTTTAGCAGAACTTACCTTTAGTCTTTAACCTGTGTTGGAGATAGTTAGAAGGCCCTAAAACTCTTAATTGGTGTTTAATGAAGCTGCCACGTGAATGCTGCACCAGTGGAGTAATGGTTTATAGCTTCCAAAGTGGAAGTGGTAATACCCCTGCTCAGGGAGCCAAGCTATCTAGGCTATCAGCAGTAAAATACAACACTTAATACTTGGCAGCCTCCTTTGAACTATGTAAAATGATCATCCCATATAATGGAATAACGTGGAGGAAATTGGGAAATTGCATGCATTGCTGCTCTGTGCTCTGTGAGGGCCTGTGTACGCAGGTTGGCGTTGGCACCGCCAGGGCTGTTGCTTAGGCTGTTGAAAGACCAAAAGTGAACTGCAGCCCTGTGAACCTCTCTCCCCACAGCATGGGACAAGTCCCATATGACTGTCCTCATGAAAGGTGGCCAAACATGACAACACCCAAAATAGCAACCTCAGTAGGCCGGGGGTGTATGTCAGGGTGTCCCAGCTGTAGCCGAGCAGTGTTCTGGGCTGGGAGCTTCCTTCCAGGAGAGGGTGCAAGCAGCACATGTGCTTTCTGCAAAATATTCCAGGCACTCTGAGACCAAAACATAGAATCATAGAATCACACGGAGTTGGAAGGCACCTCTAGACGTCATTGAGTCCAACCCCCCCTGCTGCAGCAGGAACACCCAGGGCAGATCTCACAGGAACATGTCCAGACAGATCTTTAAAGTCTCCAGAGAAGGAGACTCCACAACCTCTCTGGGCAGCCCGTCCCAGGGCTCCCTCACCATCACAGTAAAGAAGTTTCTCCCCATGTTGAGGTGGAACTTCCTGTGTTGCAACTTGGTGCCATTTCCCCTCATCACAGGCACCACTGAACAGAGACTGGCCCATTTCTGATCCCCACCCTTCAGATATTTATAGACATTAATAAGGTTCCCTCTCAGTCTTTTTTCAAGACTACACAGCCCCAGGTCTCTCAGCCTTTCCTCATCAGGCAAGTGTTCCAGTCCCTTCATCATCCTCATAGCCTCCACTGGACTCTTTCCAGTAAATCCCTGTCCCTCTTGAACTGGGGAGCCCAGAACTGGACACAGTTCTCCAAGTGAGGTCTCACGAGGGCAGAGTAGATGGGGAGGAGAACCTCCTTTGATCTGCATGATTATTCCCAGGATACCTTGTTTAGGGGGTCAGTTCCCACCTCTCAATGCCTTGGGTCTGGACTCAGAGGGCTGCTCTCCTTGCCTCACAGGGATGGCTGGCTTCGTCGCAGTGGTTGGCTATGGGCTGTACAGGCTGAAGCACAGAGGTGACATGAAAATGTCACTTCACCTGATTCACATGCGCGTGGCAGCCCAGGGCTTCGTGGTGGGAGCCATAACGTGCGGTACGTACCCAACGGGAGGGTGTCCTTGGCACTGCTGACCCATGGAGAGCCTCTCCCACCTCTTCTGGTGCATAATACAGTGTGCGTGGAATATCCTTGGCTGGAAGTGCCCAGGACATCATCTTTCCTTACTGGTGTTTGCTCAGCTTTTCTAGAGTAACATGATGCTTAAGTGCACGTACGTAACGTTCAGCTGCACTAAATCTGAGAGTAGTTTTCGCTACTTCTGGACCTGGAAAATGTATGGTTCTGCAGGTGCTGAAATTAGAGGCAAAGAGAAAAAAAACCAACAAGTATCTGTTATTAATGTTTTCCCCTGTAAATCTCTGAATTCAATGCATTGAACAACCAGCTTGTATAGACTGTGGTGTTGTATATTTTATACGTTTTCAGGAGTGGAATTGTGTCCCTGAACATACTGAGTGATCTGTACTTCTCATGTCTCACCCAAGTGTTGTAGCTGTTTGTGTGGAAATCTATATCCCATGAAACACTGTCTGTACTGTATTCCCAAAAGATACAGCAGAAAAGCTCAACTTTGGCTGCAAAGCAAGTCAGATTTAGCTGGGGGTCCACTTTTTCGTATTCAGTTTCTCTATGTGAAGAGTTGTGTGGAGTTCACCACTATTAAAAAAAAAAATAGGAGAAGAGGAAGGAAACATTTCTATTGCTTACTTCTTACTGTTCAGATTTTGAAACCCATTATTTCCTATTTAACCCAGCTTCCTGTGTTTCTGCCTTGTAGGTGTGCTGTATTCCATGTTCCGGGAGTACGTGATGAAGCCCAAGGAGTAGTGGAAAACTGACTGGGATCTCTTCCCTGGTAGCAGCCTGTGTACTGCAGCTATAAACCTCACATCAGGGGTTCCTGAGGAAAAATAATAATAATATTAATATTTGGTATTAAGAGAATTGCCCTGTATCAATTTTGTGTAGGGTGTGCACTGCCTTGAAGTTGGCAGGATGCAGGCTGGGGCATCAGGGTCTGGCTCTTTCAGACCAGCACTACCACAGCACACATTTTAGGGGCTATAATAGAGAACAATCCTTTTATCCTCCCCTTGACTGCCAACTCAGCCCTAAAATTGGTGACTCCTTTTTTTGTTTTTGCTGCCGTTGCCCAAATCCACGAAGTCTGAACCAGCTTCTGTCAGGCCTGAGGCAGGAGGTGTCTGTAAGATCGTGTCGTGACCACTTGGCTGTCGTTTCTTACCCAGTGTGCTCATCAGCCTCCAGCTTGGTAACTTAAAAGCTTCCAGTAGCACTGAATGACTTCTGAAATACTGAGAGACATATAAACATCTATTTTTGTTTATTTAAGGCACGAGAGAAGTATTTGGTATATTGCAGCTATTTAAATGTTATATTTATTCATTGTTAATGAAGACACGGGCTCCCTATTTTTACTATAGTTTTGCAGAGTTCTGGATTACTATATTTTGTAACTTTATTTACAGTGTTCTGAATAGCATATTTAAATGTAATGTTTAAAATAATACATCTTGTGAAAAACTAAACCTTGATTTGGTGTTCTAATTTAAGTGTAATCTAGATCTGCTTTCTGCAGTGTCATTCCCTGTGGAAGCTTTAGAACCCGAAGAGCCCCTCATCATCTTTGAGGTGTTAAAACCCTTCTCTGTAAACTGCCACTGTTATTTTCCACTCGAACCCCTTGTATCACCAACAGCAGCCACGAAAATAAATGTGTTGATAAAACTAATTTGTAAGAAAAAAACCCCTCATTTTCTCCTCTGAGCTTACATTCCATGGTGACACGATGATGTCTGTGATGCTGTACAGAGCAGTAGATGAAATATGAATAAACATGCAAGCACTGGGTGTAAGTTTTTTGGCTATGGATTTGTTGGGGAGTTGCTCCTGAGGGAGCCTCCTGAGGAAGGAGCGGGGTGAGCTTATATACATCCATAAAAATCACCTGAGAGGGCGCAACGCTGCTGGAAAAGCCGCTCCCAGCCGCTTTATCCCTGCAGTCCTTGCTCTGAGGCCTCCCTCCCGGGCTTGCAGCTGGGCAGGCCGAGCCGCCCCGCCGCGGCGAACAGGGCATGTTCTGG